AAGGATGCTCCCGTAATATGTGTACCAAGTTGGGTTATCAAGTTGTGCGCTATCTTGGTACACATACTACGGGAGCGCCTAAAAAAATGCTCCGGCCATTCCATAGCATTGATTTGATTCCACAGCGACTGATTTGGCTTTTCATCCCAGAAATACGCAACTGAAAATCATCTGTCGCTGGGACAACTCAAACAGTTCTAGATATCCCGTATTTTTATTATGCAACTTACATTGCCTATTATCATGAAAATATATTATATTCCATGCAATGAACATTTTTTTATGAAAAATAGATTACTTTGTTTAATTACTGCTAAAGTAATAAAACTAAAACTGAAATCACATCTAAACGCACTACATTGCAAAATAAATTGAAAAGAGATCATGCCCTTCATCTACATTTATTTTTTAAGCAGTTTTCATAGGGATAAATTCTGGTTATGACGATTCTGGCTGTTTGATGGCACCTTATTTTCACGTAGAACTTACATAATTTTTCCAAGATGTCCAGCATGCTAGTATCGTTTTGGGCGATACCAAATGATTCTATATTAAAATTTTTGAAAACTGTAGCTATAACACCTTCATGAGCATAGTTTAATCTAAATTCAATTTCGAGCAGCTTACATAGTTCAAGGATACTGGGCAATGGTACGGTTAAGCGTCCATATTCTGTTTCCTGCATTACTGCAATCATAGAGTCAGTTATCAAACAGTCCGGTTCGGGATTAAATAATGACTGAATTCTTTTGCAGTCTTCCGGGTCTTGGCATCGTTTTTGCATTTTTTGTAAAATACACCCAGCAATGTATTGGATTATATGGACCTCATCGTCATTCAATATGATAGTACTTGAATCTAGTAAATCTGGAAAACATAGGGAACAGGGGTGTAATATTAAGATATCGCATTATTGATTACCATGAATGTCAAATAAACGGTGTCAATACTTGCAATTAAAATCGAAAGCGCCTGTTAAGCTGGTGCGCACAATGTATGAATCATGTAGTGCTTTATTGCCTACATCCAAAACCAATATTGCTTAGAAAACAGTTGCGTTTTATAGCCTTATGTATGAATAAAAACCCAATTATACAATTTTTGCCAGTAAGTCATATGGTCCGTTTGCCAGTAAGTCATATGGTTCGTAAAATTAGGGTATCTAAACATACTCAAATCCAAACAAATATTTATATACCTTTCGTTTTATCCATTTCTTTAGCTTTGAATCTATCAAATAATTTCCCGACAGACTGGATGGTATAGTAAACCTGGAATACTCTCCCCGTGTAGGGATTTCGCTAACTGCATCACAGCTAAAGGATAACATTTGATCACTTAGGACTTTTCTTCAGCAACAATTGTAAGTATTTGACCACATTTGGTAAAATAGGAACAGGGCTGCAATGACCTTCCACTACAATTTTCCCCACACTAATATCTCTGCCTAAAAATAAAAAAATAAAAAATTATTTTGACAGATTTATCCCATGGTGTTTAAAAAAATCTGCTCTTCATGTTTATCTAGAGTTGTGGAAGTTGTATTAGTAATCATGGAATTTATGTAGGAGTCTACAATTATGTAAATATTACCTTGTTTGTGAATATGTTGAGCCGAAGATGCCACGCTGGAAAATAACTTTTGACACGTTGAGCACCTTCAAATAAAACATAAGTTATTTGGGGCTCGCGAAGTATGCGAACCAAGATGGCGGACATCGGAATGTAATATGTGTACTAGGTTAGGGTTAGGCCATAATTTTAGGTATAAATACTACGGGAGGCTCTTGGCTAGTCTTCGAACTGATAATAGGACTGAAATAAGGAAAATTGGAAAAAAATTATCGCCTAACCCTAATCTGTTACCCATGTTACGTTCCGATGTCCGCCATCTTGGTTCGCATACTTCGGGAGCACCAGTTATTTTTTATGAATCACAGAATAAGTTGTTTATTAGCAAAAATATTGTCATGAAAATATCACATTTAAGTATGTGTTATGTATAGAATAAAAACCAGAAAATATATTGATGATAAGATAATTGAATTCATGATCTGTTGGTGGTCCTGCATTAAACCTCTCTTAACACTTTTTGCCCTCTGTAGCTATCTTTTTGGTGCATGTTCACTAAACAACGTAGGTATATAATAACACGGCCTTAACCTAATGACCGCTGGTGTTCCTGGGTCATTTTGATACCCCTCTATAATTTTTTTAATACTCACCAACCAAAAATGCCAAAGACATCATTAATGTGTCCCAAAAAAGCCTATTTTCGCTTTCCATTAAAACGCGCCCAAATTACGTGGCGTAAATGCGTCCGACCATATGCCGGTAAGAAGAGAGAAATTTCAAAAAATTTCGAGAAAAAATTTCTCACTTTTAACGCTGTGGTCAACACTTAATTGATATGCGAGAGAAAGAGTTTTCCTTTGGACGAGTTTTACGTCACCTTCAAAATAAAACAAAAGTGGGATTTGTAAGTGAAGTGATATTCGTTTTATCGAAGAGCATTTGATCGCGTGCTGTCTGGTATCTTTGTTTGTTTATTATGAGCCGGAGAACGTTGCTCGCGCGTTCAAAATACTTCGTTTTCAACTAACAACAGATTCTTTGTTTATTTTTTAGCTTTGAAATACTTATACAAATACAATTGACCTTGTTGCAAAATAAAAATTATACATAATAAAAATATGATGACGTCACCGTAATTAAGAACACTCGGATCAAGCATGGATAATTTAAACTCAAACATTTTGAGTTTTGAAATTGGTTTTTGTTTATATGCAGACCACTATGAAATACTATTGACCCCGCAAAATACATTTAATTCAGCCATAATTCCAAATTATGACACAGATTAGCCAATCTTAACCGGGTCGATCCTATAGGTGCCAAACCACACGAGAAGATGAGAGTCAGAAAGCTTGCGGTGTTGAGCGTCCTTACAAATATGCGAGATTGTATAAATTTTTTACGAGAACAACGATTGCTCGCTCAACGAATGAATTGCCCGAGGTGCGGGACAGCCATGATTGAGGAAATTAATAAGGCGAACAAACTTGATGGAGTGAGGTTTCGGTGCAGAAAAAGTAACTGTCGAAACTCTGCGGCTATTAGAAAGAATTCGTTTTTTGAAAGAAGCAAAATCGACTTAATAAACCTGGTTATACTGTTATATTATTGGGCCCTTGATATACCACAAAGACAAATAGCATATGAGGTAGACGTAAGATCGCGTATAGTTGTGGATTGGCTACATTTCACACGAGAAATATGCTCGATGGAATTGATCAAAGATTTTAAAAAGATAGGCGGACCAGAGAAAATAATAAGCGTAGATGAAACTCTAATAGCCAAACGAAAGCCATTGGCTAACAAAACCGCGAGAAAAATAAAACCCATTTGGGTATTTGGAGGAATATGTTTATAAACACCAGAAATATTTGTGCAATTAGTACCAGAATCTGGTCGTACTAAACCCAAAATGGAGGAATTAATAAAAGCCAATATTGCACCTGGGTCAGAAATTTGGAGTGATTGTTTTACATCCTATCAAGGTATAGAAAGAATGTGACTAGGTTACACCCACCGTACGGTAAACCATAGTCTAATGTATGTTACTGAGAATGGGATTTCTACAAATGCAATTGAGAACTTATGGTCGTCATTAAAGGATAAATTTAAGCGTATGCACGGTGCTAGACGTGTAATGATTGCTTCCTATTTAGATGAATTCCTATGGCGCAGAAGATTCCCCCCTCATACACACTTTATGAAAATGATGACTAAAAGAAAACTCTATAACATTACGTCATGATATTTTATGTTTAAACAGACTATAATAATATTGTATAAAAACGAAAATATCTATCAAAGATGGCAAAGGACGATGGAATGTCTATATTTATACTAGTTACTGAAGGTCCCTTGGAAACATATGAAGAGAAACAATATATATCGTCATTGATCGGGCAAAATACATTCATCATAAAAAATGAATGAAGCAGCGGAATACTTATTCCACTCAGGCCCAATTATAAAGGCAATTCAAAGAAACAATGCCAACTCAATCATACAAAACGAAGAAGGAACGTCCACAATTGGATATGTGTCGGATCGTGACCCTAGAATTGCTGATAAAAAGGCCACAATGACTACTGATCAAGCAGACAAGCGAAGTGTAAAGGGTGAGGAAAATAATGAAATATCGAGTCCCACGTATTCTCCACTATATAGTGTTTCTCCACAATTGATAGAAGTGGTAGAAGAACTGACTTATGAATTAATTGTCAGTGAAACTGACAGTGAGATTGACGGGGTGTCAATTGAAGACGTGGAATCTGTAGAAACGATAATGTTTGGTAACGACGCACGGAGACAATTCCCTAGTGACGACTCTGGTGACGAAACAAGAGAAATCATCGAACAAACAATGGAAGGCGAATTTAGGTGTCGAGATGCTATCTCTCCAGCTAATCTTATACCAATTGATTTGACAAATAAAAACAAAGATAAAGAAAACTCGTTGATAGAACCTTTCGTGAAAAATCGTACATAACCTACGAGGCAGCGCGCACTCGACCTGGAACACGAATTATACGAAAAAAATGGAAATATTGCAACTATCAACAATCCTGCTCCGGTAACTGATACGAGCAACCCAATGCCACGGGGAACAGACGCGGAAAACTGCAATTAAAATTTTATAAATAACTCGATTGCGAGACTGGCATCTTCCACGACATGTTTTTCAGACCTCCCTACTGTTGAACGATCCAAAAGTGTTACGTAATAAAGGTTATTTTTTGAATGTTTCATGTATGATCAAGTGTGGTATAAGACTCTGGAATTTTCTATTGGTTTTAACTTAGAGTGTATGTACTTGTAATTTTATTTTATGCTTATATTTGGATTGTATTTTAACATTGTATTAGAATACAAAGACTTAATACTTGTAATTTTATTGTGTACTTGTGTTTGGGTATCGTAGTACTTATCATTAACTCTTATGTGATATTGTGTAATATTTTACTTGTACATACTCGTATGACTTAATACTTATAATATTTTTGATTTATGAATTTATTGTTTTTGACTTAGAAATTGAATACTCTTATTTTATTTTTTATGTGAAACCGAATTATGTGTTAGTATTAAACTGAAACTGAAGGAGTAATAACTTTTATTTCATGTATAAAATGAGACATACGTATTGATTTGCTCATTGTTTAACCTTATATACTTGCATGAATTGGTTATTATATTGTTTTTGACATATTAATTCAATAGGTTGAATTTTTTATAAACCCGACGTTTGACTTACTCATACGATAAGCCGGTGCCCTTTGTAACAGAGAAATTCCCAAGGAAAGACTTCAAGCCTTCTCATGTACTTATATTATAATGAGTCGAAAACCTTAGTTATTTTTATTTTATTGTATTATTGGAAGTTATAACCATATACTCAATATGATTATTTAATGGTGCTGTTTCAACTTGTACATTGAAATCCATAAAAAATTATCAAAGAAACAGCTAAAAACTCTTGATATAAACGAAACTACCAACCGTCATAATGAAAAACAAAATGGTGGTCACAATGCTAAAACAAAATGGCATATACATGTAGCTTATGCTTTCATGTGGATTAAAGTATATTATGGCAATAATAAGAATATTTTTGTTTAATTGTTAATGAATTATTCGAAATATTTTATTAATAGGTATATGTGTAATACTTGTTCTATATTAATGTTTTTGCCTAATTTATACTATTGTATACTGTTGTTAGAAATATCTTATCCCTAGAAACGTTCCAAAAATGGACCCGAGTGTAGTCAACTGCAAATTATATAAATACTCACCAATGGGAGCTCGTCTCGGTCCTTTTATTTTTTTGACCGGGGAATGGAATGTTTGTTTGCGGGTAGCAACGCACCGTGTTAGGTGGGCAAAACGGAAGCCAATGCCGGAAGGGGCCCTTGACGGTCTAAGGGTAATTCCTGATAGGAGACCTGCACTGAACTCGAGTGTTGTTTTTTATGCAACAAGACACCCCATGCCCCGTGTTGAGTATATTAAGGAACTATACTGAAACTATCTACAAATGTGCATGTTGTATTTTTTTTTTTTGAATACTTTGCAAATATGATCAAGTTTTTTTTATAAATTTGAAATATGTTACCGTATTGAGTGTGTTCAGCACTTTTAA